AGCGGAACGGAGGGAGTATTACTTTGATATAAAAGGAAAAAAAATCTAATGTTAAAGGTTCTAACAAGACATTGGAACAAGAATAATAGTTGATTAGCAAAACTAACGAGTTGTCTTTTACCTGGACCGTTTCTATGGTTACAAATGGAGGCTTTTAAAATTGATAAGTGTCAAGAATTTTTTAAAAAAATAGCCTAAAGTGCAATTTTTTCTTTATGTTCATTTTTACAATTTCGTATTTGGAATTTATAAGAAATAAATTGAAGATGTATAATCTATTACTCCGTATTCAGTTTAATCTAGCTATTTCTTTTTTAATGTTTTATGAATCAGAGAGTGTTTTCTTTATGTGCAGGATGTTTTAAAATAAGGAGTGTTTGGGAGGGAACCAAAAATAGGGTCTCAAGTCCAGGTCAGCTAGGCCATATGAAAAAAATATGAACAAGTGGCGCTGATGTGTTAATTTCCGGCGGAATTATTACTTTCCGACATAAATGTCCTGAAATTGGACAAATATGTTAATTAGAGGACGTATTATGCAAGTAAATGAAGTTAGAGGACCAATATCGGGCACCACCAAAAGTTACGGGACTAATTTTACAAATTTCCCTAAATTACTTGACTAAAGTTAGTGCTACAAGTTACTTGACTAAAGTTATTATTACAGTCACTACATTTAGGAGTTCATATTTTTATAAACAATGTTTATTTTAGATCTCTTACTAGTTACTAATTATTTGAAAATTGTTGATCATAAATATTTCTAAATTTTTTATTTGATTTTTTACTTTCGACTTTTTTTTACTTTCGACTTTATTTTATTTGGTAAATTTACTTTACGTATTTTCTATTTCAAATTGTTTTGTTTTCATTTTTGTATTTTTATTTTTGAGTTTGTTATTATTTAGATCTAATGTTGTGTCATGTGTGCACTTGTAAATGTTTCTAATTATTTTCACATTCTTAAAAAACTTCAAAAAAAAATTGTACTTATATTTCTTATTTATATTTTAGATTTATCAAAAATATTCTACTTTACATATCTCATACTCCGTAAGTTTTAATGACTCAAATAGGACTAATTGCAAAGTTTATTGCACATATATGACTGCTTACGGAAGTGGAGTTTCATAGGACTAAATTCAACATGATCGAGAAATATAACACTCCTTTACTTTTTTTAATTAAAAAAAACAAATTAGAAGAACAGTTGAAACCGTGAGGAGTCGATCAACTGCCGGAAGTAGCACTACCACCGTCGAAGCCGGAGCCGCCCTGCTGCCCTCACCGGCACTGACTACCACAACACTCGCCAGCACCGTCAGCCCATGTCCTTGTCGGCCCATGCCCTCGCCGGCGCTGTTGCATCTCTGCCGGTGCATCATCGTCATTCAACACCGCCCAACCGGCGTTACCATCCGCCTCTGCCGCCGCCATCCTATCATCGTCGTTGCGCCCTATGTTGAATCCTGGGCCACCACTTCATCTCCGGGCAGTGCCGCCGCCGTCATACCCCACTGCCAAAAATATGCCTTTAAATCAAAAGTTTTGGCTTGAAGATTACCTTCAAATATGTCCTTAAAACAAATTTTCAGATCTGCCATAATGATGAGAGATTTATATTGACCGATTTACACAAAACTGTCATAATCTTGGCAAAATATGAAATCCACAACTAAATTTCTGTAAAACAAAATTTTTTATCAGAACAAACTTTCTGCCATGAACAAGTGTTTCAAATCTGCCAAAAACTTGACAGATTCAACTTGACACAGTAAAAAAATGCCATAAATTTGGCAAAAAAACGAAAAACATGAAGTAAATAACCAAATATTCAAACAACTAAATTTTTTTGATGGGAACAAGTATTTTAACTTAACCAAAAATTAGAAAAACGAAGCTATAGACAAAAAATAGAAAAACCAATTTATACAAAAGCATTTCTTCCATAATATGATTGTAAATGTACACATTTCTGCCATAAACTTGGCCAAATCTGAAGCAATCATCTAAAAAGTTATGAAAATTGAAATTCTTTTAAAAATATGAAATTATAAATCAGAAAATCGAAATTCTTTTAAAAATGTGAAATTATATATCAGAAAATCGAAATAGAAGTTTGAAAAACTGGGAAAATCATTTCAAATTAAATTCAGAAATATGGAAGAAAATCGAAAAGAAGAAGAAGATGAGGAGGAGGAGGAGGAGGAGGAGGAGGAGGACCTCAATGGCAGAAATCTATCGATCTTGTGCGCAGGGCGAAGTCGGCGGCGATGCTCTGGTTAAATCGGCAGATCGGAGATGATGAGGGAGCAGTTAACTCCCGGTCTGCTTTGCGTAAATTACATGGTACAGCCGGCTGTACCTTGCGCACGGTACAGCCGGACTTTTAGATCGGAAATCGCAGGGCAGGCTTCGTAGATCGCAGGGCGCTGGACTTCCTCTGCAGATCGTTCTCGTTCTTTGCTCTCACCTACACAGATGATGATTCTCGACAGTCGCAACCTTCAGCACGAGCGCAACACCGGCTTGAGTGGCGGCTCTTGTGGCGGCTCCTCTTGGTGTATAGCCCTAATTGCTTCTTCTCCCTCTTTCCTGCTCTGGACTCTTCTTTTTTCTCTGTTTCTTTCCCAAGTTTGATGAGTGAGTTTGCTCACTTGTTGATAGCATGTCAGAGAAATCTAAGTTATATGTAATTCTTCAGATGTGAGCATAACAAATGAAATTATGAGCACATTAGACATTTTAAATGAGTTTTATGAATGCTCATTTCATCATTTATGTATACTCATTTGATATTAGTGCAATACTCATTTTTAAATGTCATATTCATGTATGTTTCGAAATGAGTTTTATGTTAAACTCAAATGAGTATAACGCCCAAAAATAATGAACACACACAAATGAGTTTTTAATATTTTGATACTCATTTTGTAATTATGTATGCTCATTTTGTACTGTTTCATGCTCATTTTAAAATGTTACATTCATGAATATTTCAAAAAGAGTTTTATGTTAAACTCAAATGATTATAACACCCAAAACGAATGAGCACACACAAATAAGCTTTTTAATATTTTGATACTCAGGTGGTAAGTTATGTATGCTCATTTGGTATTGTTTTATGTTCATTTTACAAAGTTGCACGTGTTAAACATACTATACTACATTAGATTCACATATTGAAATTAATTATAAACACAATTTAAGAATTTTTTATAAACGAAAAATTAATAAAAAGAAATTGAATTAGAATATATGAAGCAGAGATCACTGTGCTCGTTATTAGGCTTCTAATACTCAGAAGAACCAACTTAATGCTCATCAAAATTACATCAATGCTCATTTAAGAGAAACCGCGGACTTCATCAAATTTACAAAAATGCCACCGGCTGTACGGTGCCAGCCGTACAGCCGGCTATATGGTATACGCTTCCGTCTGCTTTGGGTGGGTGGAGGAGTCGGTCGATTATGTTTGTAAATGGAGAGAGAAGGGAAATTGGGTACAGGGGCAAATTTGAGATGCAAACTTTCGTATGTTTAGGAATAGGAGTATATTGGTCCTATTAAGAGAAGAAAATATATTTTGGGTGGGTGTTGGAGTCGGTCTATTTTTGCATTCCACTCTTATTTTAGTCCTATATAGGACTCTAATTTTGTATTCTAGTTTTAATTTGTCTGATGAATAAAACTTTCACTTTTCTATTTTTAGAAAAATTAAACTTTTATTTATTATTTTCAACTTTTGATGATTTTTCACTTTTCCCCAACTTTTGATGATTTTTCATATTTCATGGAGGCCTACTTTCTCATGGTGGTCCATTATTGAAAAAAAAAACTAATTTTCAGTCGCAAATGTGTCAAGCATTACTAAACGTAACTAGTGGTGGACTCGAGCCGGGCGGCACGGCCCGGAACCGGCCCGGCCCGGTTACTGTTTGGCCCGGCCCGACCCGGGGCCCGGTGGGTCCACCGGTTCGGTTCGGCCCGGCCCGGCTGCTGGGCGGTTCGGGCTCGGGCCCAGTTTTTGGTGAACCGGCCCGGCCGGTTCGGGCCGGGTTTTTTTTTTTTTTTTTTTTTTTTTGAATTTTTTTTAAGTTTTGGGTTGGATTAGGTGTTTTGGGCCATTTGAGCCTCAAATGGCCCAAAACACCTAATCCAACCCAAAACTTAAAAAAAATTCAAAAAAAAAAAAAATATTAAAACCGGTTAGGCCCGGCCCGGTTTGGCCCGGAACCGGAACCGCCCACCGGCGGTTCGGGCTCGGGCCCAACTTTCCTGGCCCGAGGCCCGGCCGGGCCCAGGCCCGAACCGGGCCCGAACCGGCCCGAGTCCACCACTGAACGTAACTGTCCCAACTCCCAAAAGCATAATTTCATGTACTGAAAATTAAGATCACATTTGTTTTTCCCTGAAAATAGATCACATGTGTGTACAAATAACTGTTTCAACACCAAAATGACTATGTTTGTGAACACATTTATTATGATCTTTACAAATTACATGTTGCTAACTTGCCACTTGCATTTTCCCTACTTTTTAGATATTACTCTTTTAATTACACATTATAATTTAGATTTGTATCACATCCTTTGTATTGTTTATTCTGTTTACGTTCTTTATATGTTTTAATACTGATGTATCAAATCATTTGACACAGTTTCTTCAATTAAAGTATGTCCTACATTCATTAGTGAAGGTACTAATAATGTGGAGTAGTTGATAAAAAACGAAAGTAAAAGAACAAAGAATGCTATACTCCGTAGTAGAAAAGAGTAATGAAGTAAAGCTAATGTCCAAATTAAGAAAATGTTCAGTTTTGGAGTATAACAAAGACTCAATAAGGAAAATACACCTTACAAAATGAAACAGATGGAGTGTTTCCAATTTTCCCCAAAATTTCGTTAATAAAAAAATACGGAGTACAAAATAATGAATTTTGAAAAGATTATTTTTTACTTCATATGAACTAGCTCACAAGCCAACTCAGAAGCTTACAAATCAAACGCTATCAATCTTGAATTTGGTTAGCTTAAAAAACCGAGCTCAAGAAGCTATTTCAAACTCAGATCCAAGTAGGTCACTACAGCAAGAGTTATGTTCATTTACAGCTTTAGTTCGAACGACCCACACAAAAAACTATGGTTCCTTTAAGATAAAAAGCAAACTATTCTATTGCTCCTGCTTTCTGTACTCAATCCCATAAAGTTAAGTACTCTCTAAACCAGAATTTCACAAAAAGGAAATGAACAGCTAATGAAATGAAATTAGTCCAACATATACTACAGAGATTCTCACCTTCAGAAATAATACAACAATGTCTCTACTCAAATTCTCTCAGTTTTATATTCCTTGCAAAATGGCCTTTACAAGTATACCTCATATCAACAATACTCTTTCTATATATGCACATAAGCCTCCCTCCAGATAAACCACCAACTGCGTTGCCTGTTGATTTAAATGTTTGCTAATCAAATGTTGGAAAGTTTTCATGACAACTAGGGGGGAGTTGGTAAATTACCATGAAATGAAGAACAATTTTGCAGTCAAAACTCTGTACTGGCATGTACACACACTTAACATTCTAGAAGAAACTGTTTGTATCCAGGCCAGCTGCAACCTGTGTACCAACCCAATACACCTAGGATAGCATCCACTCTGGTACATGCAGCAACCTGGAATAAATTGAACAATTCCTAGTTAAAAGCTTTTTTCCTGCTTGTTTTAGGGGGGCAAGACATTGTATTGTCAACCGTACCAAATCATCCATGCTTGCTGCAACATGGAATAACATCACAGCCATTCCTTTCTCTCTGTTAACCTCTGCCTGTAAGGAAGTGCAATATGATTGTTTTTTAGAAGGAAAAAACAAATACAATTATAGGAGTACATAAAACTCTAAGTTTTCAAAAGCATGGGACGAGGCACCTAAAAGTCTTGCACGTGACACATCCTTTTAAAACGTGACACATCCTTTTAAGTAATAACACTGTCATAATTGAAGACTTATTTCATATTCAGTTTGTAGGGTAATAGACTTTGAAAAAATACATGTTTTTATGTTTAGGCTCTAGAGTAATAAAGTTCAAATGAATACGTATATATACTGTTTCGGAAAATAGAGTTTTAGTTATTTGGTACATTAGGTTTAAAAGTTAAAAGGCTTATTGTTCCAAATAGTTTTCCTTCAGGCAGTAGCCATTGCATCGCATGGGTTTAAAAACTAGCTCATCATAGAAATTAAAATTGTTCTTCCATCACAACCATTAAAGGGGATAAGTAACAAACATCACAACTCTCTGTTTATCGACTCACCACACATGAGCATATTGAGACATGCACTGCAGCCAATGTTGATGTCACATCAGCCATCATGCCTGGAAATCATATTGTACAATATATAATGTTAGTCACCATGACATATGGAACTACTGTAATCATATGTATATTTTATTCAAAAAGATTTCCATTATTGCTCTCCTTTGGCAAACAGATGTATTCACAGCTCCTAAAATCTTCTCAATAAAACACTTTTAACCTAACAAAGATATGTATTTCAATACTACACCAACAGATGTGAACGAACCAAGGTAAGCATATGTATATATAGGTTTCGGATCAAATAAAAACCACTCTTAACGTGAAAACTGAAACCGTTCACTTTTTCCCCAATGTGATGCATATTAAGGTTGATCTGTTGCACATTTTGAACTTCAGTCGAACCATGCTAAATAAAAAATGCGGTGACATTTTCGTAAATAAGCCAAAGTTTTCTGTCAATGCGAAAAAGTGCAACATAGAAATCTATTAGTGCATCACACTGGAAAAAGTGCACCCAACACACACACATAAACAGTTCATTAACAAATTGACTGTACCAGATGTACACTAAGCATTTCAAGCTCATATAGTATACATTAAAATCTTAAGAGCTCATAAATGAGACCTAATCAAAGTCAACTTATCATCATATTTTGAACACTTGAGGACATACAATGTGTCACCTCGGCATGCCATTTTACTATATAAGTACTCTGCAATTAATTAGGATCACATTTTGTGTGAGATAGATTAGATTATGTCATTGAGTATATATGTTTGGGAGTAGATTTAAAATTATCTAGGTATATACTTCACCCTTTCTTAATTAATTGAAATGGTTTGACCATCACACTTGACCTGTTGACCATGCACAACTTTGACCATTAATATATTTAATTGACTATTCAATACAAAAATATTAAACATCATATTTTGTCATGTTGCATTGAGATAAATCTAAAAAATCAATATATAATTTGCTTATGTAATAATGCAAAAAATAAAGTCAAAGTAGAGTATATGAATAGTATAAAAGTCAAACTATTGCAACTCATAAAAAACGGAGGTAGTATAATACATCCAAGCCTTAATCCCAAAAGATTTTGGGGTCGGCTATCAACGGAGGTAGTATAATGTTTAGAAAAATAAAGTTTATGTTATTCTGTACAGGAAAAGTATACATGTGCCATTATACTAGGAAACTACTGTGGAAAATGAAAAGAAATAGTAGAAAGTATAACCTTTTCGGTCCATGCATACTACACAAAACCACTGTATGGAATGCCCTTCAAGGTTGTTCCATGACGTGACCTTGCTGGCGAGCCAGCCATCCAACCCAGGGTACACCTCCTGGTACATAGGAATGTTAGCTTGAATTACCCTTCCAACGCCATTCCCCTGTGAAAAAGTCTCTCCTTCACCCTTCAAGCTCACGTGATGCAGATGCTTACTGAGTTTACCATTCACCTTGGGTGTCTGGATGCTACTACTGCAATCAAAAGGATCTCCTTCACCTTTCATTATTGCAAATGGCATTTTCACTACATTCTTTAGAATCTTTTCTGGTGTGAATTTAGTCTCTTTAGAAGAATAAATTGCTTCTCTTCCACTATTGTCACCACATTCAGCAGCAAATTGAATCACTGATTCTGCAGTTATTTCAGATGCTGATAGAGCAGCTTGCTCTCTTAAAAACTGAAGCATAATAAATCTTGATAAGTATGGGTATTATTTAACAGATGCAGGATGAAAAATATTATCGAGTGTTACGAAAAATGAGCATACTTTCATAATCTTGTGCCTGGCACTATGCGTTTTCGCATGCTGCAACCAATGTTTATGTCTTCGAAAAGCAGATTTGTTTGAGAGGCCCTGAGAAAAGTGGGAATTAAGGACTTGTAAAGTACGGATGCATCTTTGCACTAGTGGCATATACTCCATCCCAAAAAGAGTCGTGTTCCAAGAAATATTTTCCGAAAACAAAAAGTCCAATTTTGAAATTCAACTTTAATTTTCTAAGCAAAAATGCAAAATTCCATTAAAGAATCTTGGAATTAAATTTCAAGGGTATAAATGACAAGTCATAATTGTACAAGTTTGTTCCTTGATTGAGTTAACTAAAACAAAAGTTTTACCTTAATCAAACAAGACTCTTTTGGGACATAATAAATACTTCACTCTCATTTCCACCCTTTTGGAGTGTTTTTTCTTCTTTCTTGTTCCCTTTTACTTGGGTGAGTAGGGTAAGAGTGCACAGGATATATAAGACTGAGAAGAAACTCACACTGTAGGTGATGATCTCCACAACTTCAGCATTGGCCAGCACATGCACTGGAGAGACAATATTGCCATTCACCTACAGAAAGCAATAATCAAATGGCATATTGGCACAAGATGCATACAAATGAATAGTAAACTAGTAACGAATGAAGTACCTTTGCAGCTACCATTTTGTTACCAATTTCAGTGTGTATCATATATGCACAATCAATTACAGTAGCCCCCTCCGGTAGATTTTTAATCTGTATGCAACAATAGTATTGCATTGAAAGTAAACAACATAAAAGATTCATGTTTAATAAGCACACTATCTTTACCTCTCCCCTGGGTGTAAATACAAAGACACGACTGCCTAAAAGATCCCTTTTAATGGTGTCCACAAATTCTCTAGAGGTTATATTCCCAACAAACTCCTCCTGCCACTCTCTGATTGCATTGAGCCACCCAATCTGAATAAAAGAACTATGAGATATAGCTACAGTTAATTAAAATGCATGCACAACACATGCTCTAAGCCTTTAAAATAGAAACATAACAAGGGAATAAAAGATTGTGATTTTGTGAAGGCAAAAACTATGCTACCCTAAGAGCAACATTGGCATTGTTGAGACATGCTGTCTTCGCACGAGAAGAACCGTTGTGAACAGCATGTGCAATTAAACCATTAAGAGCCTTCCCACTATAATGTGCAGCAATGCCCCGCTCTGCTATTAGGTCCATCTCATCAGTTCTTATCTGCCAATGAATACACATACAGAGAACTATGAATACTTGTGTCTGTGCGGCTGTGCCTATGGTGCAAAAAGGAAAGAATTCTTGTTGTGGTAAGTTTATACCTGTACTTCCAAACGCAGCATGCTTTCATAAAGAAATGGAATCACAGTTGTATGCAGACTCTGATAGCCATTAGGCTTTGGAGTAGCAATATAGTCTTTCATCTGTTAAAGGAAAGGAAACAAATTTCCTAATAGCGTGAAAGAAACACCTTTGCTAAATTGGGAGTGAAAACAAGTGTGTCAGAGATGTTCATCCAAACATACAGCTCGAGGTATAGGTGTCCAAATTCCGTGTACAAGTCCAAGTACATGGTAGCATATCTACGGGGGAAAACAAATTATGAGAAAGCTAGTAACTGAAAGTCTAAAGTCCATCTATAGTTCAGTAAAAAACCAAGTCCATATCAGGTAAAAGAGATGTTTCGAACTTCAATAATTTCTATTCATCATGCTTGATTTTTTTCGAAATATTATCGGACAAAATGCAAGAAAAAAGTCAAACAGAAGGCCAAACTCAAAAAGGCAGGGCATGAGTGTGTGTGTAGTACCTGCTGCGCGTTACAAAGCGGGCCCACTCCAGCACAAGATTTTTGTTTTATAATAATACGAATCTGGTAAACCAACAAAATAGAAGCCTGAGAAACAATCGAACACTATGCAACTTCTATAATGAGCCAGTCATGTTCCAATAAAAAGAATAAACCTGTGCAGTCTGGTTGACTTCATTTATTGAACTCTTAGATTTGATAATACCTTTGTAGATACTGCACATGAGTAGATTATTAAGTCAATGGATTAAAATGAGTGATGACCAAATTCATTTCATGTGGATTTTTTATTAGAAAACATGAGTATCATCTTTTAATTTTTCTTATTCGCTCTTTATCCAAAAGAAGAAAGCATGCACACTAACACAACTATGGTGGATAAATTCCTTAGATAACCATGTATAGAGAAAATGAAGCATCTAGCTGAAGAAATTGGTGCTCCCACGGTCCCACTTAGAACAGAAGAGTGTATGAACTATTTACCTATTTGTTTTCTAGTACCTCAAATACGGAGAAAAACTTCTGGTTGTTCTCTATAACACCATGTTGTTCATGGAAACTGGTATGAGCAAGTAAACACTAAGCACTATCCAAATAACTCCATAAATTCACACTATAATTGCTAATTTACTCATATAGTATCAATAGAGAAACAAATAAAAAAACTACTCTTGAGCCCCTGGGTGCAAAGACCTTAAGTGTGATCCATAAAATGGAAATATAGAAAAGAGAAAGATCAAAATATACATCAAATGGAGGAAAGTAGAGATTTGGATCACCTGTAAGGTTGTTTACACAGTGATCGGATCTCAGTGCTTATTGTCATGAAATCCAGGAATTGATCATCCTCAATTTTCTTTGTTAGTATTCTCTTTGCCTAAACAACAAAAAGGCACCACATGTGTGAAAACATACAAGGAATAAAATCTCAAAAGAGTCCTTACCTCTAAGAGTTCTTTCTCATGCTCTTTATCAAGTTCAGCAATTCTTCTCTGTATCTTTGCAAAATCTTGGGCATTTGTGTACATGAATGCAAGATTTTCAAGTTCAGACTGCGATGAATAAATTTAACTAGGTAATCAATGGTTCAACCATACATAGAAAAGGTTCAACACTTCAACCATACATTTTGAAAAGCATTTAAAAAAAGGTTTAACCATACATAATAGAGGAGAGGAGATTGAATCTATAGAATGCCTATCAATGATTTCCAACATGCAACATAACTGAAGCATGAATCAGAATGATTGTTTTGAACCATTAAGTCAACAATTACTAGTTGTAAATAGAGCTGCCCAGTATACTACAACTCGCACGTAGAAAGTTTCATACAAGAAAATGGTACTGCTAGAGGCAAACAAACCAAAAACCAAGGGCTCCAAATTGAGATGCAGGCTACTGCCCTCTAAACAGTGTAATTGAATTTGGTCACATATATCTTAGATGTCACATGTGACACTATAGTGATTATATAATCCAGAGTGCATGTAACGAGAAATATATTATATGAACTTTCAAAAAAGCATACAATTATTAACATGTCATAGAAGTATGGAAGTTATGTAGCAGCATGAATAGAGGCACCTTAATTTGGTACATCCCAAGCAATTTTGCCAGAGGAGCAAAAACCTGCAGTGTCTCTTCAGCAATGTTGGACTGGACACAAAAAATAATAGTAACTATCAATCACAAGTCAAAAGAATACATGAAAAATAAGAATAAAATATATCTACACCTGCTTATGGGGAGGCATATGTGAAAGAGTACGCATGTTGTGCAATCTATCAGCCAATTTGACAATTATTATACGGACCTAAAAGATGACACTTTCAGTCTCTCTTTACAGAAATCAAGAAAGCAAGAAGCTAGATTCAAATGTGTGTATCATGTCACCTCCTCAGTCATGGAGAGAAACATCTGTCGAAGGTCATCAGCTTTGACATCTTGAGCAGGATGGTTTTGATCCTTATACTTGATCTTTCCAAGTTTGGATACCTTAAACCGCCAAAAAAGGAATGGTATTTATAAGTTTATAACACAATCAAGTGAGTCAAAAATTACTGAGTGCACTACGAGATTACCTTGGTCTCCCCTTCTACAATGCGGCGAACAGTAATACCAAATTCTCGCTCTATTCTTTCAAAGGTAACAACATTTGTATCTTCAACTGTATCATGCAATAATCCAGCAGCAATTGATTCCCAGTCTAATTCCTATTAAATGCATTTTTTAAAACTTTAAAACAGAATAATATAATACAAGTACACAACAGTAAAAAAATGTGCTGTTACAATATGTATAACAAACCAGTTCTCCAAGAATTTGTGCTACTGCAACTGGATGTATGATGAAGGGCTCTCCACTACGTCGCTTTTGACCATCATGTGCTTCAAAGGCTAACTGTAAAGTAACAGGCAGTAATATTCAAACTATCTGTTTACCCACCCATGCTAATAAGCTGTAAAGATTGCTCCTGTTGCAAGAATAGAAAGGTAGAGAAAGAAACGTGCTGGAGCCCGCATTTAGGAAAGGTAAAAAAGGTAATTAGCATAAGTGGAGGAAGTGGGCTAAGAGAAAATTGTAAAATGACTAAGAGCGCAGAAAGTGCGAGTTAACAGATATAAACTTACGTTCAAGGCATTCCTGACCCACTCCAACTCCTTAGTGGAAAGATATGAGATAGTCAGTTGAAGATCCTGAGTAAGGAAGCTTAGGTAATCAGTTAAATCGTTCAAAATCCAGGCACTCACTGCACCGAAACTTCTTACAGAAGGTTTTATTTGAAAAAAGAAAGTATGATTTCACATCAGCGCACCAACCAACAACTAGAAACATCCCTCAACTCCAGGTTCTCTGACCTGATATTAACACTGGCATCACATACCTTCCACAAACTATCTGGAGATATTTCTTCTGACGGTTTTGAGGAAAAAGATAAGGAGCTGCATAATTTCCATTTGCTACTAGAATCTTCGCCAGGGTTGCACCGTCCTATCTCAGGGACATTACATATCTGGCACAAGTAAAACATGGAAAGGACACATAATATTAGCACCAAATATCAATGACTAACAAAATATAGAAAGCATTTGAGACTGCATACATCTTGATTCCCTTTGAGGCTAATCAAAGGCAGTAAGAATAGTGGCATTCGATAAGGAAACAAATGATAAGATAATTAATGTGGCAAGAAAGGCAATAGAAACCCTCAGTCCTATAGAAGTATAGAATACTGATATGTAATTAAACTGAGAACTTTCATGATAAGAAAGTACTGAGAAAGGTATAAGCAAAATTTACTTAAATCAGTTAAATATACTTGCTAACACATCCATTCAGGTGAATTAGCCACAGCCAATAAACTTACACATCCGATGCTATTTCGTCTTCCTGTTTGTCCATAAGAGCCAAGGGAGAGCTGAGGAGGGTTGGTGGTGCTGGCGAGGAATCCAGTCAATGCCCTCCGAGCCTTCCATGCACAAGAAAGAACACCACAGTTGAACCTTCCGCTACCATCGCCATTCCATAAACTATGCATATTAAAACATTCCACTGGAACTGCAAGTTTAAAGAAAAGAAACTGAACTCCGGTTGACCAACTCATCCAATGAAATATCAAAATCCTGGAAATCTAGAATTGACAAAGCATCAACAGAAGATCAAAACCTCACCTGACATTGAAGAAACAGAAGTCATATCTACACCGAATCATCCACGGGTACATAGAGTAATCACCTAACGAAAATCAAGAGCAAATAAAAAACAAACAACTCCATTTCAATCAAAAAATTAAAGCTTTACAATCAACAAGACATACAAACACGTCTGCTCTGCGCCCAGAACTGTCAGAGAAGGAGGGAACGGCATGGTTGGAGAATTGCACCGACAGAATCAAAAGACTCGCATTCAGTGGGGAGGACTGAGGAGTGCTTGTTGAAAGAAAAAGATTGCAAAACAGAAAAGAGCAGGGGAGAATTCACTCAGGAAATGAGGATAAGCGAAGCAAAGGGACTGAATTGAATGGCGATAAACTGGAGAGAGGAGGGGGTGGAGATGAAAAAGAATCCAAATTTAGCTCGGGCCACACCGATAAAGCTACTTTTGTAACGTATTTGGTGTGAATGAAGGAGTGTGGTTTGACTATGAGTAGTCCGGCATGCTCTTTGCCTCTTCGGTGTATCCACTATCCACCACCGAACAACCACCGAACAAACCTTACTAAGGTAACCTTTAACCATAGAGCCGTGGTTGGGTGGGAGTATGAATTTGATGCTCTTATCTTCATTCTTGAATTGATCTAACCTAATATTTGGTACTAACTTTAGAAGTTCTCATTTTCCTTTTTGACGTCCTATTAGAAGGTTCTCATTTCCATTTTATGAAACAATTAACAATCTTAAGTGACAAATTATTCATTAATACTAACACATTATAATATATACCTATTAAAATTATTTCTCAAAATGTACCCGAAGTACTTTATTTAATTATCACCTAAATAATCGTGTCATTTTGCTATGGGAACCTTCCCGCAGGTAGTATATTATTTGATGATGAAGAGTTGAGACTCGTTTGATAGTTTACACCTTAAATTGTGCATGTAAAATGATTTGTACGAAGTACTCCGTATATGTTTCTAGAAGCAATCACTTTACATACTTCGTATAAGAGTAATCATCTGGTCGGGGCTTCCTACTCGAAACCATCATCCGACTGTCGCGTTTAAAGGTGGTTTTCGATAGTATTTTTTTATGAATTTTTTTGAGCATGTTCTATCTAAAATGTAGATTATGTCTATAAAATTTCAAGTTAAAATTCAACCTGGAATTCAGTTAAAGAAACTATTGAAAAACACTACGCCAAAATATATATGTATATATGGGGGGAGATCAAGTACAAAATGTGCTTATTGTGCAAATGTTTGTACGATGCACCTTGACGTTATTTGCATTGCATATTGAGTTCAAAGTGTTGCATATTATATAGTCATAAAATAGTAGTTGCACTTTAACGTTCAACGAGTTGCACCCTAGAAAAGTTAGGGTCTGTTTACTAACAGAAATATTTTCCAGTTTTCCGGAAAACTGGAAAACTGGAAAACAGAAAACAGGAAACATGTTTACCAAAGAAATTGCTGGAAAACTGGAGAAAGGAACAAAGAAAAACGCGTTTACCAAATCGTTTTCCAAAACGGAAAAAATGAGACATGTCTCTCTTTTCCTTAATGATTTGGAAAAATGACTTTTACTAGTTTTCCAAATTTGGAAAACGCAGATGCTACAGTACCGCTGCAATGAATTTGCATACTTACACCTAGTGGTGGGTCCGGTCCCGCTCCGATGTCCATTCCATTCCGGTACCTCCATCCTCGTACCTTACCCCTACCCTACCCTACGCACCCAACCCCACCCCGCGTACCCATTTTTCCCTATAATGACCCTACACCACCCCCTACCCCTACCTCGGCCCCACCCAGATTCACCCAACCCTACCGCCACCCCCTACCACCTCGACCCTACCCCGACCCACCCTACCCTACCCCCACACGTATATTACCCCTTACCCCTTACCACATGCCCCCTACCTCGGCCCCACCCCACCGCCATCCTACCCCCACCCTCGTACCGCCATCCTACCCTCACCACCATCCTACCCTTCCCCTACCTTGGCCCAACCCGGATCCCAGGCCCACCCTACCGCCATCCTATCCAGACTCCCTACCCTACCCCTACCTTACCCCAACCCTACCCACTACCCCCACCCTTAACCGACATCCTACCCCCCACCCTACCCTTTCCCTGCCTCGACCCCACTCTGCTCCCGGTTCCACCCTACCGCCATCATATCCCAACTCCCTACCCTACCCCTACCTTACTGATTGCATTGATTTTTGAGTGTTTATATTTTTACTTTTAATTACTTTTTATGGTGTGTTGTTGTGGTAATTGCACATTTAAGGTGCAATCATTTTATTTTTCTAGTTTGTTGTAATTTAGTAAATTTAGAATCATCTTGAGCAAGAAACAATCAAGAATCAACAAAGGATCATGGAAGGGATCTTACAAGATCAAAGGAAAGTGCAAGGGAACAAGAAATCATGCAAGAAATGTGATTTGGTGACTTACCCGGTCGGGTATAGCCTTTACCCGGTCGGGTATGAAGTGACCCGGACAAAAAGACGTGCAGAAAACACAAAATCGTGGGCAAAATATTTGATTTTGACAAATACCCGGTCGGGTATCTCAAATACCCGGCCGGGTATCCGGTGCAGCACCTTCAAAACACCTATAAATAGCCCCATTTTCCTTCACTTTTAATCATCCCTTCTTCCATACTCTTAAGCTCAGTTTAGAATAGTATTTTTTTATATTTTTATAGCATGTTTAGTCTCCAAATGAGGAGCTGAACTCTTCCATCTTGGTTTTGCTACTTTGAAGCTGAATGAATTTGTAAGTTGTGAGTTATTCTCTTTAATCTTCTTCCTTGAATATTAATTATTCCTTTAAATACTATTTCTATATCAATGTTGGGGAGTGTTACTAAGATGACAATTAGTTAACATCTTGACATTAGTTATAGTAATAACTATTTCTTCCTCTATGTTAATATTGGGGAGTGTTACTAAGATGACAATTAGTTAACATCTTGATATTAACTATAGTAGGATTCATCTTCTTTAATATTCTTCCTTGAGCATTAATTAATTCCTATTCATATTTCATATTAATATTTTGAACATTACTTAAAGGATCAACTAGTTTTGTTTCATATATTAATTATTATTAGAATCAATCGGTTAATACGCTTGTTATTAATTCGGTTCTTTCAATGGTAGTAAACTTGGGTTGTTAATGCATGCTTCTCATGGTTAATAAGCCAAGGGGAATTAATTATATTGATTAAACCAATAAACCGCTTGTGTTGAGGTTATCAATCTCAATCGTTTTCATCTTAAGTTTATTGCTACTATCAAGTTAATATACGGCGCTTGTTCTATATTGACTCGATAGTAAGTTTTATTAATGAACGCATCTCGTTATTAATAACTACCCTCGATGAACTGGATATACTCCTCGATTGAGTATTCGAGAGGAAGATACTTAAAGATATAACCGGGATCGACGAACATTTCATTAAGTGGATAAAAGCAAAACCAAGTCCCCATCTCTATTAACTAAACTCATTTAAGTCATTCATCTTAGTGTTAATTAAATCAAATCAAATCAAATCTAAAAGCCCCCTTGTTACTAGTTATATAATAGAGAAGTATTCCTTTCCCTGTGGATACGAACCTTACTTCGCTATACTACGTATTAGTGTTAGTATTGAATTTATTTTGACGCACCGTGACAAAGTGCTCGTCAAATTTGGCGCCGTTGCCGGGGAAAGGCAATTATTTTTCTTTTTATTTTATCTCATAAAAATCAAAAACAAAAAAAAATCAAAAAAAAAATATCTTACTCTTCTATTTCCTGAGCTTACATGAGTTATGAGTATATGGATGCCAACATATCATCCTTAGAGAGTCAAATTTCCTTCTTGACTTCTCTAATAAAGGGATTTATCTTAATCTCGGAAGCTCAAGATGCCAAGACATGCAACATTTGCATGTCTCACAGGCATTTTACGGATTTCTGCCCAAAGCTCCAAGATGAATACCTTGAACAAATTGATGATGTTGGTTACGAAAGGGATGCACCTCACATGAGGTATGATCCGTTCTCCAACTCTAACATGTCTACAGAGGATATGGTCCGGGCTATTGCTACCAACATGACCACCATGCAAAACAACATGGTGCAATTCCAAAATGAGACCAAGTCTAGCATTTCAAACTTGGAAACTCAAATGATTCAAATAGCCGGAGCCGTAAGTAGGATTGAAGCAAGGGGTTCGGAAAAACTTGCCTCTCAAATAGAATGTGATCCTAAACAGCAAACTTTTGCAATCACATTGACAAATGAGAAGGAAATGCAAAAAGAGATCCAAAATCCAGAAGAAGTAGAAGAAGAAAGAGACGCGGAGCTCCAGCTAGTCAAAGAAGAGGATGAACCGAGTTTCAAGGTCAAGTATCTATCCTTGTCATCCTTTGAGGTACCCCCAAAATTCTAAAAACTTTGAGGGAAACTCATAAAATTGACAAGGATAATGACATTTTTGAAATCTTCAGCAAAATTGAGGGATCAAAACATTTTCCGTTAACCATGTTTAACGATAATTTCTTTCCCTCACTCCCACCACATGAATCAATGAAAATCTGGATATTTGATCCTGGAAAGATTTTCAAAGTGAAGAGTCAAGAAATTAAGCATTCCTATGGAAGTCCTAGGAGTGAAAGTGTGAAGAAGATAAACTATCACGATCCAAGTTTGAATGACTGAACACAATGACAGCGTCGTGCCACGACGTTAAATAAAGCGCTTCTTGGGAGGCAACCCATGCAAGGTACATTTACTTATTGCATTTTATTTTTGCACTTTAAAAAAAATCACCTCATTCGTCTTTTCCAAATTCGAACCCAATTCAATTACCCCAAACCTCCTAACCATATCCATCTTTCTTCAAAATCTATCCAAATCCTCCACCAAACCCCACAAAAAAAATCATAATCTTGTTCTCATCACTGTCCTCTTGCTCCACATACCCTCTAATCCACAAACTCTTGGAAGCAACCACCCCTCTCCCAATCCACAACTTTATATCTTCAAAAAAAAGTGATGGCGATAACGAGCACTAGGGACAGTGCTCCGAGCTAAGTGAGGGGGAGTCACTCATTGATACACAATTATTTTTTCTACCTTGTAACTTGCATTATTTTCTTCAAAAAAAAAATTAAAAAAAAATAGAAGAAATGCTAGTTAGGTTGAAAACCCAAACGGGCAACCTAAGCAACATTAGCAAAAAAAAAAGAGTGAGTAAAAAAAATGAGAGGCTAGGATGAAAACCTGAAAAGGCTCCTAGGCAAAAGGAGAGAAATGAGAGAAAAATTAGTTTTGCAGGAGTTCATTTTTACCATAGCAAGCAGCTGGAGGGAGAAGCAATAACTTTCTATAGAGCAAATGAATTTAAACTGAAAAAGAAAACACTTCTGTTTTTCTTTTTATCTCGTTGACACTCTTTGGATGGTGAAGAACTTTATGGATTTTACTCGAGGACAAGTAAAAGACTAAGTGTGGGGGAGTTGATTGCATTGATTTTTGAGTGTTTATATTTTTACTTTTAATTACTTTTTATGGTGTGTTGTTGTGGTAATTGCACATTTAAGGTGCAATCATTTTATTTTTCTAGTTTGTTGTAATTTAGTAAATTTAGAATCATCTTGAGCAAGAAACAATCAAGAATCAACAAAGGATCATGGAAGGGATCTTACAAGATCAAAGGAAAGTGCAAGGGAACAAGAAATCATGCAAGAAATGTGATTTGGTGACTTACCCGGTCGGGTATAGTCTTTACCCGGTCGGGTATGAAGTGACCCGGACAAAAAGACGTGCAGAAAACACAAAATCGTGCGCAAAATATTTGATTTTGACAAATACCCGGTCGGGTATCTCAAATACCCGGCCGGGTATCCGGTGCAGCACCTTCAAAACACCTATAAATAGCCCCATTTTCCTTCACTTTTAATCATCCTTTCTTCCATACTCTTAAGCTCAGTTTAGAATAGTATTTTTTTTATATTTTTATAGCATGTTTAGTCTCCAAATGAGGAGCTGAACTCTTCCATCTGGGTTTTGCTACTTTGAAGCTGAATGAATTTGTAAGTTGTGAGTTATTCTCTTTAATCTTCTTCCTTGAATATTAATTATTCCTTTAAATACTATTTCTATATCAATGTTGGGGAGTGTTACTAAGATGACAATTAGTTAACATCTTGACATTAGTTATAGTAATAACTATTTCTTCCTCTATGTTAATATTGGGGAGTGTTACTAAGATGACAATTAGTTAACATCTTGATATTAACTATAGTAGGATTCATCTTCTTTAATATTCTTCCTTGAGCATTAATTAATTCCTATTCATATTTCATATTAATATTTTGAACATTACTTAAAGGATCAACTAGTTTTGTTTCATATATTAATTATTACTAGAATCAATCGGTTAATACGCTTGTTATTAATTCGGTTCTTTCAATGGTAGTAAACTTGGGTTGTTAATGCATGCTTCTCATGGTTAATAAGCCAAGGGGAATTAATTATATTGATTAAACCAATAAACCGCTTGTGTTGAGGTTATCAATCTCAATCGTTTTCATCTTAAGTTTATTGCTACTATCAAGTTAATATAGGGCGCTTGTTCTATATTGACTCGATAGTAAGTTTTATTAATGAACGCATCTCGTTATTAATAACTACCCTCGATGAACTGGATATACTCCTCGATTGAGTATTCGAGAGGAAGATAGTTAAAGATATAACCGGGATCGACGAACATTTCATTAAGTGGATAAAAGCAAAACCAAGTCCCCATCTCTATAAATTAAACTCATTTAAGTAATTCATCTTAGTGTTAATTAAATCAAATCAAATCAAATCAAATCTAAAAAACCCCTTGTTACTAGTTATATAAAAGAGAAGTATTCCTTTCCATGTGGATACGAACCTTACTTCGCTATACTACGTATTAGTGTTAGTATTGAATTTATTTTGACGCACCGTAACAAAGTGCTCGTCACTTACCCCAACCCTACCCACTACCCCACCCTTACCCCTAACCCACCCACTACCCCCACCCAACCCCCTACCCCTAGACCTTACCACCCCACCCCGACCATACGGTCCATACCCCTTACACCACCCCCACCCATAACTTCCCTACCTCGGCCCCTACGAGTAGGTATGGGTGGGTATGAAGGGTTGTGTGGGAGTATGGGTAGAGTGTACGATCGTGGTAAGGGTAGTGGTAGGGGTCTAGGGTGTGGAATTAGAGAACTGGGTGAAAAAATTGATGAACATGTTTTTAGATTTGAAGATGGAAAACTAAAAAATAGAAACAGAAAATTGGAGATAGAAAAACTGAAAAATAAAATCAGAAAATTGGAGAACGAAAAACAGAACTAGAAAACAGGAAAATATCTCTGTTAGTAAACAGGCCCTTAGGTTTTATATATATAAAGGCAAGGTGGCATTTTTGTAATAAAACCTAACTTTTATAGGGTGCAACTCGTTGAACGTTAAAGTGCAACTGCTATTTTATGACTATATAATATGCAACACTTTGAACCTCAATATGCAATGCTAATAACGTCAAGGTGCATCGTACAAACATTTGCACAATAAGCACAATTTGTACTTGATCTTTCCCCTATATATATATATATATATATATATATATATATATATATATATATATATATATATATATATATATATAGGGCAGATCGTATCAGGCCGGCCTGACGGGAACCGCCGTCAAGCCGAGGTCTTTTGGGACCCTTCCCAATGGAATTATATTTTTTGATGAAATTGTTTGAGCATGTTCCTCATCAAGTCTAGTCTGTTCATACCAAATTTCAGCTTAAAATCAATCTGGAAGGCAGTTAAATAAATTCTCTACCAAAACTGCGCTATTTATGTATATATAAAGTGCAGTTTTTGTAGAGAATTTATTTGACTCTCTTCCCAATTGAATGTTTAGCTGAAATTTGGTATGGATAAACTAGATTTGATTAGGAACATGCTCAAAACAATTCATCAAAAAAATCCACTGGGAAGGCCCTCCTCTGATGGCCTCGGCCAGATGGAGAATCCTGTCAGGCCGGCCTGACAGGATCGTTACTATATATATATATATATATATATATATATATATATATATATATAGAGAGAGAGAGAGAGAGAGAGAGAGAGAGAGAGAGAGAGAGAGAGAGAGAGAGGAATGCTCAGGTCCATCCGGAGGGACGGAATGTGCCGTCCGACCTTTACTGTTTGGGGTGGTTCCTGGTGGAATTTTTTGATGATATTTTTTTAGCATGTTCCTCATCAAGTCTAGTTTATCCATACTAAATTTCAGCTCAAAATTCGATCGGGAAGGCATTCAAATAAATTCTTGAAACATACTGCACATTCTGCGCACAGAATGTGCAGTATGTTTCAAAAATTTATTTGAATGCCTTCCCGAATGAATTTTGAGCTGAAATTTGGTATGGATAAACTAGACTTGATGAGGAACATGCTCAAAAAATTTCATCAAAAAATTCCACCGGAAACCGCCCCAAACAGTAAAGTTCGGACGGAGCCTCCCGTCCCTCCGGATGGACCTGATCTTTTCTATATATATAATAGGGAAAATGGAAACTAATAATCCAACCTTTTAGCGGTCTTCTTTCAATAATCCTACCTTTTGATTATTCATGAATAATCCAACTTTTGCACCTCATCTTCATTCACTGGTCCCTGATCGGTTGATGACCTGCTATTCCAAGCTATTTTCTTATCTTTGCAAAATATTATCTTTGTGAAAGATAAGATTTATGGTATAATGCTTTGCAAAGATAAGAAAATAGCTTGGAATAGCAGGTCATCAACCGGTCAGAGACCAGTGAATGAAGATGAGGTGCAAAGGTTGGATTATTAATAAATAACCAAAATGTTGGATTATTGTAAGAAGACCGTTAAAAGGTTGGATTATTAGTTTCCATTTCCCCAAAAAATTTAGTGTAAATTGTTTCTCTAAAATATTCTTTGTACAGGCACAGTCGGACTCAATGCTCTGGCTACGTTCGTGATAATCGGTTTAACATGTATTCACCAGCCCTGCCCTTACCTACGCTCTTGGTGGGACTAAAGTTATGAGCCCGTTTGGTAGAATGTAAATAATTAATTACTTTGCATGGAAGTGTAGGGACATAATTACACAATTTGGTCTGATTATTTAATGTAAATTGTAAGACATTTTTAAAAAACATTTCGTACTATACCATGTAAAATATTTTACTTGAGGGGAGAGTGGTAAAATACTTTGCATGTTTTTTATAAAGCATTGCAACGCCTTTGTGTCACATCTAGCCAAACAATGTAATCTAGTTTATATGTAAAATGATTGTTTCCCTAAACTTTGAATGCAATTAATTAAAAGTTATACGTGTAAATTACCAAATGAAACTATAAGAGCATCTCGATCAAAATCTCGTTCAAAGCTTATATGAGCATCTCGATCAAAATTAATCTCTTTTCTCCTATACATGATTCTCCATAATAACGAGGATATGTAACTTATATATGATTAGCACTTAATTATGCATTAATACATATATACCACATATATTTTCTTCAGCAATTTAAAAGTTACAAAATCTCCTACAAATGTAAACAAAATCTTCGCGATCGTGTGATAGAGCTTGGAGGAATGTCCATACCCACACCTTCCCCTTACAAATTACACCATATATATTTGTGCCTCATTGCTCTCATTAATTTGGCATCATCATCTCATCAACAAACGTGTAAGTTGTGAGAATTAAGGGTATCAACACCCACCAAGATGCTAAAAAGGGAAATAGGAGACAATGTTAGGGTTTTGATGGTGATCAACTTACTCTTTTTGTTGCTTCCTCACTTGTCACTTGTCTTTGGTAATCTTGAAGGTTAGTTGGATCTACACCTCTCTTTCATCAGTTTAAAATATACTACGTACTTATTTGTATATGTGAATTTGTTTGTGGCAAATTCGGAATTCGGAATGGGTAAATGACAATGAAATCATTATTTATATGACTTTTTTTTATCTCCACCATGTTTTGGGTGGACTTATATAAGCATTAATATGATGATAGCTATAGGTTGGGTCGCTATAAAGAATATTTCATACGTACGACTACTATATTATTTTTGTATACGCAAATATTTTTATCGGATTCGGGTGTCGGGTCTAGCTAGCACGACCCCCTAACTACGCCCGTAACAATTGATGTGCATGCAATACACTTATATACATATGTGCAGGTGATGCTTTGTATGAATTGAAGAAGGCACTTGATGATCCAAGGAATGTTTTAGCTAGTTGGGATCCAACCCTGGTTAGTCCCTGTAGCGGGGCTTGGTTTCATATTGACTGCGACGGTGAAGGTCATGTGACCGCAATGTAATTTACTAATCTTTTTCATTTTTAATTACTTTAAAATTTAATGCTTCCTATCATAATTTTTTTTTGTGATTTGTGATTGGACATTTATATTTAATTATAAATGTTTGCATTCAGTAATCTTCAAAGGTCAGGCCTCTCGGGTCATCTAGTTCCCGATCTAGGGAGTCTTTCAAGTTTGGAGCGTTTGTAAGTTCAATTATTCTTTTACATAAGTTCAAATTAATTTGCGCTCATATATATTCGAATAGAATGTAATTAATTAAATTCATACCAATAGATGCTAAGAAAGGAAATTAGCCAAAACATGTGAAATTTGAGAGTAATTTATTTTCACACAGAATATACGTAATTATTAATACTTTGTTGTTGTCAATTACTACATTTGTATTGTCATATGTAACAGTATGATTTCAAGATAAACCTTAATTCACTCCTATTAAGAAGCAAAAAATATATTCATTCAATAATAAATATATTGGAATCTCACGAGTCACGATATTTTAATTCTTGTTCTAGGAAGCTTCCTTATAATAAATTATTTACATATATAAACTATACAAAATGGTGCAACCTAAGTAAGGATACAATTATCATACAAACCAATTAGATTTCAATTTAGTGGAAATATAAACTATATAAGGCAATTCTAATCGTAACATGGCTGTAAAAAATATGTTTTTTTCTAAATAAAATACTACTCTTCAATTCCATAATAAGCATGTATCAACTAATAATGCTAATTAATTAATTTGAGTATTGAATTCTAAATCCCTTTTTTTGTGCGTTGACAGCTATCATATTCGTGACTATTCTCGCATTATTTCAGGGTGCTTTCGGAAAATAATCTTATGGGCACAATTCCATCTGAACTTGGTGGGTTAAAAAAATTGGTCAGCTTAGATCTCCACCAGAACCAATTGACCGGTTCTATCCCTAACAGCTTGGGCAATCTGCAAAATTTGAAGTTCCTGTACGTGGTTGCTTTTGTTTAGTATTTTATTTAGTTAACGTACTAATCATCTATATAATCAATTATATATTACTAAGAGTAATATATAAAAGTGACAAATAAGAGTAATACGAAGTATATTACTAAGATCATCTATTTTATCCCCGATGATCTTATTAGTACTATACCCTTATGATCTTCTTAGCTATATGAAAGTGCACAAATAATTACTAGAATGCAATCAATCATCATTCCCTATACCAGACCAAATCACACTAGATCAGATCATATTAGACTTAAACAGATTAGATGAGACTAGACTTAAACAGATCAAATTAAATCCTAACAGATCAGACCTCAACAATTGTAAAATAAACATAAAACATACATCTAAGAACCTGACCATCAGACCAAACTTAAACATATTATGTCAGAAAATTTCAGTTCAATTAAAAACATCCTAAAAAGAAAATGACATGTATATTACTAACAAAGTTTCCTCGGATAAAAATATGAGTAGTTATGTTTTCGGACAAATATATGACTAATTATTGTGTGTGAATAACTGGACACTGAGTCACTATTGTGTATTTCAGAGTGATAAGTCACTCGTAGATGACGAGTCACTGAATGTGTCACTTTTTTGAAAATTTTCAAATAAATCATATTTTTTTCTTTTGAATTTAATTTAACTCTCCGTAAGTCCGTAATATTCATGGAAAAGGCCCATTTAGAAGTTCAGTGAAAAAAATCATAGGTTGTTAATCTAACAAGTCACAATTCTATATTGGCCATGCATTGATCTTATTGTGAATTATGAATAACTCTCATTTTTCTCTCTCGCTAGTGCGTGTTATTTATTTCTTTTTTTATTTTATTTTGTGTAGTCCACCAACTAAATTAAGGACGTACTTTTTGTTCAATTCCATGTTTTTTTTCAGCCGGCTATCTAGTAATAAATTAAGCGGCACAATTCCAGCAGAGCTCGGCCATTTATCAGCTTTGGCTCTATTGGAGCTGTACTTGAACAATTTAAGCGGCGCCATCCCAGACAGTTTGGGCAGTCTCACAAATTTGTTCACTCTGTAAGAGCAGTTGGATTCACTCCTCCCTTTACACTTCACTTTATTATTACATGAATCCCAAGAGCATCTACAATGCTAAATGTGCGCACATGTGACATGAGAGATAATCACATCAGTATTAACAAATAAATTATCTCTCTTCTTATTTAAATGACTTTATACAAGTTTAGTAACCGGTAGCAAGGGAGTGCCACAAGAGTTAGGTCTCGAGTTCAAATCTCGGCAACTGCGATGAGGAGTTACTATGCTGAAAAATGCATAAGGCCTCTGCAAGTACCGGGGACAGAGCCCCACTCTCTATCTGTCAGATTGTGATTATAGTCCAATTTACATCCTCCCATCGTGCCGTCTGGTCGGTGTTGAGTGTCATCCTTTTTTTAATACAAGTTTAGTGTTCTTGATCCTTTTGACATTGTGGATTTTTTTTTTACCAAAATTGAATAAAATCATTCAAATAAGGAGATAGATAATTCATTTACCAATATTCATGTGACTATCTCGCATGACACTTGTGCACCGTGCACATTGTAGCATGGGACATGCTCTAATTATTATTGTTGCATTTATTAAGTGAAGTTAGAGTTATGTTATTGTTTTCCTTATTCTGTTTGTTTGGGGTGGAAATTTGAAGGCAGCTGAACACCAATAAATTGACGGGGCCTGTTCCACAGTCTCTTGCAAATCTTAATTCACTCACACTCTTGTAAGTATTATCTTCTTTAATTATTGCAACTGTTTAACTTTCATGTTGCCAACAAACAACTTTGACTGTAATTATACTTGATTATGTATTAATAAACATGATAAAAGGTTGATATTTTAGAAATTCACATTGATAGGAATTCAATAACATTTTATAGGTAATAATTTGATTATGTATAGTAGTAGAAAATCATGATCAAAGTCAGGTCTGTGAATAGTGCAAAAATTACAATGTTGCAAGAATTAAAGAACAAAAGAAGTACTCCCTCCGTCCCTATTATATCTTCCAAATAGATTTGGCACAGAGTTTAAGATAGAGGGTATTGTGTGGTGGAGAGTTGTGCAGAGGAGAGAGAAATGTGTAAGAATTGCTGTGAACCACAAATTCTGGCCAAAAAAGGAAAGTGGAAGTTTTAATTGGGACGGACGAAAAAAGAAAGTTGGAAGTTTATTTAGGGACGGAGGGAGTATAAGTTATAAAGTTTCCGTATTTAAGTTTGTCCTATATGAACCTCTTACGTACCACATAAGGTCCAAAAAAGGTATTCTAAATTTGAACTACCTTCATCCCAAATTGTTTTGCAAAGTCAACATTTTTTGGTCAACTAATATTAACGTTAAATCATCCTTATTAATAATTAATTCTGTTTTAATAATTAAAATTTACATATTTAGAAACTACATTAAAATCTCTATATAATTGCAAAATCCAAATTAAAATTTCATTAAGAACTTATATATCCTAGTTAAGTGACTCACATGAGTCAGTTTGACCCTAAAAAGTCAAATATGGAACGAATGGAATATTCTTTATTATATCTCTTTCTAAAATCAGTTGTTGAAAGTCACAACCTAACCCCATCGAGTCACAAGTCGTCATACCATTTTTAGTTTTATACAACTTTTTTTTTACCTTAGAGTGTTGGGGTGTTGGGGGAACTTGGTGTAAAGAGGACTGAAACCCCTCCAAGAAGTTCTGAAACCCGAAACCTCCCGTAAGAGAGAGTAAGTCAGCGACACCAGCTGAGTTGTACCTCTTCGTCGGTTTTATAATACGTACTCGGGTATACGTTTAAAACCACACCATCGTTGCAATGGTAGTGACTGCACTTGCAATCACACACAACAAACCGCAACCGCAACCGCATTGGCGTCCCCAAATAACATCAAGTTATAACATTTTATTGAAACAGGGATTGCTCGAGCAACTCTCTATCTGGGACAATTAAGCTGGATCATGGTGCTTTTTTGAATATCACTTGTGCTAGGTTTGTTTGATCCATCCTTGAATATAATAGTTTCTTCCGCTCTTGATTCATTCAACACAGCCTAATAGTGACTTTGCTTGTTATAGTTTTCTAGACAATCCAGATTTGCAGTGTAGTGCCTCTTGATGAACGCCGCGGATCGATGGCTTGTTAATTTATTACGTAGTACTAGTACATTATTACTTCTTGCTGGCGTAGGCTTATCATGATCCTCTAATGGGAGGACGGTTTATCCGTTTATTTATATATTACGGCCCCTTATTTATAATTACTTCATACTCCGGTATTTCATAGCTATATAAATTACTTGTGCACGCCATTTCTGTTTGATCAAAATTGTAACAACGTATACTCGTTATAGTCTTTTTTTACATTTCACTAATATTATCAAAACTTATATTTACAGTCAAGTTTTATGACTTTTATCTCATATGCTAATATAGTAATATGCCATTATAGATCTATACATCTATTCCTTATATGTTGTGGCGTATTACCTCTATTTGTTGTTATTTGTAAAAAAAAATATAAATATCTCATTAAATTGGGTTCAAAATATACTTGATATATATCTTCATTTATCCGAATTAATTATATTTTGGCTAGTCTTCTCTTGTGGGTATTTTGAAAAAAAAAATGCCTTAACGACCAATAATGAATTTACTGCATGTTTTGGTAAAACATGCGGGAAAGGTAGCTACGTACATTGATTTCTTGAGAATTTTCTCTTAAAATAGTAAATGAGAATTTTTAAGGAAGCTAGTGGAAACAGATTGAAATTGAAGCTCTTTCTTAAATGTCTATAATGATCATACTTAAGAGTCAGATGTAGGGATATGATCTGAAATCGAAAATGGAGATCGAGCCGAATCAAATCTAGGTGTCGAGGTTATTTCAATTGTATAGTAGTATCAACCAGTATAGAAATTCCTTCAAATAGGATTAAAGATAAAAACTCAAAATAGGACTTGTTATGTTTTTTATTTCAAAATAGGATCATATTAGTCCTATTGAAAACATACCTATTTCTTCATTCCATTCGTACCCCTTCTTTAAATATGAGTAAAACATAGTCAAAAGTCATAATTAAATGTTTAATTCAAAATAAATTTGAAAAAATTTCAAAAATTTGTAGAAAAATAATAATAAAATTAATAAAAAAATTATAAAATAAAACATCGAATTTTTTTTTTAATTTTTTTGAAAATTAATAAAAAATAGTAAAACTCCATAAAAAAATTAAAAAAAAATATGGATGCCTTTCCCACCGCCTGTACTACCTCCCTCCACCACCTTCTCCGATCGGTGTAAAAAAATGCCATCTTTTTTTTAAATTCCAAAAAAATGGCATATTACTCTTTGAGAATGCCAACATTTTCATTCTGCCAACTTGAATCATTTTGACTTCTGCCAAAAATATGGCATTCGTAATATTTTTGGCAAAATTTCCCCCCAGTGATAGGAGGTGGTGGTGCTTCCTCCATGCACCACCACCTCCGACTGTTAAAAAAATGTCATATTTACATAAAACTGCCATTTGTTTTCCTGAAAATGCCAAAAAAATGGCATGTTTCTCTTTGAGAATGCCAAGTTGAATCATTCTGCCAACTTGAATCATTCTGTCTTCTGCCAAAAATAAGCCTTCGCGCATGGTATTGCATGAAGGGACCTTGTGGCAGCAGATGTTAACATGAAATAGGGAGGGAGCGATGGAGAAAATGATGATGCTACGACTATTAGCAGAGACGTTAAGAGGCAGAGAAACATAGAATTGAACCCCAATGACTTGGCAACATCGATGGGCTCCTCCGAGGAGCTCCGTCGGGCCTAATGTATGCCCTATGTTGGAACTGCGGGGGAATTGGGCAACCCCGGACAGTTCAAGAGTTGGTCTGCCTAGTGCAGATGCATAAGCCTAAAATCGTTTTCTTGTCCGAAACGAGGCAAGATTGCGACTATGTTCGACGTTTAAGTTGGCGTATAGGGTTGAAAAATTGTCTCACGGTTAAGGGAGAAGGTAAAGGTGGGGGTTTGGGGATTTATTGGGATGAGAGCCTTGTGGTGGGGCTTCTTTCATTTGGTAAACATCATTTTGATGTGCCGGTTCGTGAGGGGGTTAATGGAACTCAATGGCGTGGAACTTTTGTGTATGGCGAGCCAAGAGTGCAAGATAGACACCTTATGTGGACCTTATTGTGTCGGATTCAACCAAATTCAGATGCCCCATGGGTGATGATTGGTGATTTCAACAAGGCAATGTTGCAGTGGGAGCATTTCTCAAGTATTAAACGTCAAGAGAAACAGATGATGGACTTTAGGGAGGTTCTATCTCACTGTGATCTCCATGATTTAGGATTTTTGGGACTTCCCTGGACATATGATAATAAACAGAGTGGTGGACGGAATGTTAAAGTTCGGTTAGATAGGGGTGTTGCTAACCCAGACTGGATGGCCCTATTCTCGAAGGCACAAATTAGGCACTTGGTTTCCTCAAGATCGGATCACTGTCCTTTACTCTTGCAGCTCCAATTTTCTCACTCGAAGAGGTTAGGGGGGCATAATACGACGATATGAACTGTTCTGGAAAAGAGAGTAGGATTTAACGCAGGAGGTTAAAGAGACTTGGTAACGGGCTCCTCGGGTTGAGAGCTTGGGTGACTTTGTGGGAAACCTGAAGACTATGATGGGTTCCCTTCAGAGTTGGGGACGCAGACGTATTGGGAACATTACAGAGGAATTGCAGAAATGTAGAGTCTGTTTGGAAGCTCTTCCGATCATGAGGTTGATTCGTCTTCTTATGCGGAGGAGAGAGTGGGTTTGATTCGAGATATGGATGAATTACTGTATAAAGAGGAGATGATGTGGTTTCTACGCTCATGCATTGCGTGGATGCGTGAAGGGGATAGGAATACAAGATTCTTCCACCAAAAAGCCGCCTAGTGCTCATGGACGCTCATGGACGTTTGATCATAGATAATGCGTTAATGGCTTTCGAGTGCATCCATGCTATGCAAAAGAATGAGAGTGAGCGTGAGGATTTTTGTGCCTACAAATTGGACCTTGCCAAGGCATATGATCGTGTCAATTGGGGAACTTTAGTGGCTATCTTACATAAGCTGGGCTTTCACCAAAGGTGGATCAATTGGATTATGACGTGTATTACCACAATGTGTTATTCTGTCCGACTTAATGGAGAGTAGTTGCAGGATTTCTCACCTTCATGTGGCCTCCATCAAGGTGACCCCCTCTCCCCATATTTATTCTTGTTGGTTGTTGATGGCATTAACGCATCTTAAACAAGGCAATCCGAAGTGGCAGACTACATGAGATGTCAATCTGCCATGATGCACTAGGGCTTTCTCACCTGCTCTTTGCAGACGATAGTTTTCTATTTTTAAGGCAAATTGTGACCAAGCTACAAGGGTGAAAGATGTCTTAACAACGTATGAGAGGAGTACATGCCAACTGTTGAGCTTAAATAAATGTTATATCCTGTTTGGAAGATCTTGCAGTATGGAGAATCAAGAAGCGGTGAGGCGTATTCTGGGAGAGGAAAAGGCGGGTTTTGAGGAAAAATATTTGGGGCTCCCCATGCCAAATGGTAAAATGAAAAACGAGAGGTTTCAAAATCTTAAAGACAAATTTAATAAGAGATTGAATGGCTGGTTGGAAAGATATATATCTGCAGGGGGGAGGAGGTTTTGATAAAGTCTGTTTTGCAAGCAATTCCCACCCACTCAATGGGAATTTTTAAACCACCAGTTGGTTTGTGTGAGGAACTTATGCACCTAAATCGCAACTTCTGGTGGGGTGATGAATTGAATGAAAGAAAGATTCATTGGATTGCTTGGGAAAAACTTTCAGTTCCTAAGGGCTACGGAGGAATGGGATCCCGCGTCTTCTTCGTTATCCAGAGAGTTTATGTGCACGGGTGCTTAAGGCAAAATACTATCCAGATGGCCAATTATATGATACTGTGTTTTCAGCTGGGGGTCCCTGTCTTGGCAAGGAATTACATATGGTCTCGATCTCCTAAAGAAAGGGATCATATGGCGTATTGGCTCAGGAGCTGCTGTTGATATTTGGCGTGATAACTGGATACCACGTGATAATGCTCTTAAAATCTGTGGGAAACGAAAGTGTGTGTGATCTTATTACTCCGGGTGGGGGAAGTTGGGATGAAGCCTTCATCAGAGATAAGTTCTGGCCATGGGATGCAGATGCAATTTTAAAGATAAAACTGCCATAGGAGTTGAGAGAAGATTTCTTGGCATGGAATTATGACAAATATGGGCTTTTCACAGTTAAGACTGCTTATCGTCTAGCTATCTCAAGTCGTCTCCAGGCTCTTAGCACAGGTGAAAGCAGTGGGGGTGGCAATGGTGAACGAGGCATTTGGAAAGTCATGTGGAATACTAAAGTTCCCCAAAAGGTTCGCATTTTTTGTTGGCGTCTAGCGCGAGAAGCGCCAGCCAGGGGTGTAGGAGGGGCTGGGCCAGACTGGGCCCTGGCCCAGGGTAGGTTGGGCTAGTAGTTCATAGGGTACATAAAAAAAATTAACCTAGCCCGGTGTAAAGAAAAATAGGCCCAGTATAAAGAAAAAAGGCCCAGTGTAAATGTGTTCTACTTAAGCCTTAAGCTGACCAAATCACAATCCCTTTGAAAGAAAAATATGAACGATTGGAAAGATTGGAAAGAATCAAAATTGAAGAAGTCAAACAATGGGCGAGTGGCGGACTGTTCCGTGACTTCCGTCTGTGCGAGTGTGCGACTTGCCGGACTGCAGACAACGAAGGCGGACTGCGGACGATTGTTGGACGCCTGGACGGTGGGGCGCGGAAACTTGCTGGCGAATGGAGGACTGGCTGACTGGAGGAGTTCGGTGGATAGAGCTCCAATTAACAATAACAAAGCCATCTGAAATCTTTCCCTTTCTCTAGGAATAGAGGTAAATGTTCTAACTTCTAACCCTAATTTATAATTGAATCTTAATTAGTCATGACTTGAATGAATTTATTTTGTGTACTGTTTAGCTACTTTTTTATATTCTGCGTTTTTTTAATTATGTGTTAGTGTGTATATTGTGAGTTTGTAAATTGTTAAGTAGTTATATAAATATAACTTATATGAATATGTGAATGTGAGAATTGAAATTTCAGAATAATATACTTTAAAATGTCAGTTTGTTTTTTACTTTAATATTATCTCAATAATTTATAATGATTTTTTAAATTATTTGGATTTGATAGAGGAAATTATGGTTACTCAACAGCCTCCTTTGAAGAAAAACAAAGTCACTTTGCATTCTTTCTTTAAACCTGCTAGTAAAGTACAAAGTGAAGATGCTAGCGGGAGTCAAAATATTTCTAATGTTGAAAATCAGTCTACTTCTACTCCGGTTGAGATTGAAAGAGATCCAGGTACAAG